TCCCGATATTGAAGAATGTTTTTCATAGAGTGAAGGTGAACCTACTGCAGGACCGAGTCAAAGGAGTTATTATGGAAAAAACAAATACAAATGGTCTAAAAACCCACCAGCACCTTCACGTACTCGTCAACATAATATAATAAAAAAAAAATACCTCGATTGATTGGAACAGGAACGACTAAAAATCAGATGTCTACCAAAGAAACATTTGAGCTGCTCATAGACGATAATATTATAAGAATATTAAAAAAAATATACCAACGAAAAAATTACAAAGAGCTTAGAAAAGAATTCTACGGTCGCATTTAGTCAAACCACGTTTCTGAAACGGAGATGAAGGCTTTTATTGGTCATTTGTTTTGTTTTCAAATCTGGACTTGAAGATATAGAAGATTTGTAGCACACAGCACAGTACAGTAGCACAAAAATACTATGTACTAGTTGTCAAGATTGATCTTAGTTTACTTGTAATTTTCCTGAGCCCTTAGTATTATATTTGTGTTGATTTCTTTTAGAAAACGCTAATCAGTGATTTATTTCTTTATATTTCCAGAGTTTCTTGTATAAAGAATAAGAAAACATACACATGTATAATACAGCCTAAGATTTTGAAAATTATTATTTTTTTTAAGTTAATATTATGTAAGAAAAAGCCAAAAATTTTAATGTTTTTGTGATCACTTGTAATAATTAAGAAAAAAGCATTACAGTAATAAAAATTTATTGCATCAATTAAAGAAGCTTATTATTTATCTTTTCTTAATTAAAACTTAAATAAAATTTCGATCATTTATACCTTAGGTGTAGTTTAGTGATGGTTGATTCCAAGTGCCGTTTAAAAAAAATCTGGATATAATTTTAGAAATTTATTAAGGTTCTAAGTTTTATTTGTTGCGAATGTACTGGTCATTGTGAAGAAGACTATACTGTTATCAGTTATCTCAATCATCGACATAAATAAAAAAACGTAAAAATAGTTTCAATAAAGTTTAATTGAATCTACTGTTCCATATATTCATATACAGTTTATTAGATGATTTAAGTGATAACTAGTGATAGTCATTGGTGGTTGAACACTAAATGACTGAAAGGCTGACAGTTCTATGTTTATAATTTCAGATCGCAGTAGGACCTGGTGTCGGTAAATACGAAGCATTAGTGACTTATGTTATCAACGAAAACAGATTTGAGATAAATTCAAGAGACATATCAAGGACTAACGCGTAAGTAACAGAATTATTAAAATCTATTAGTCTATACTGGGAGCAATACATGTAACGAACACAGTTATATATGTAACGAACACAGTTATTTTTAAAATGTATATATCGGATTTATTATAAATTCGTTGTTTTGTTGAAACTTCAATTGTTCTTAATGCTCCATTGTTTCTCAAAGGTTCTTCAGAATCACATACTTCAATGATACGCATTCACTGAACTCTGAACTCAGCCGTCGTGCGTCCAGACGTCATATTTTTAACAAGATTCAAACATAGTTCTATTCTCCTTTTAAACAATCGTTGATTTCGTTTTACTTTTTACAATAATCATGAATACTAATGAGTTTTAATAAGAATTGATGACAGCCTCAAATTATTTTCACGACGCATCCGTCATTAAAGCTGATAGCGCCGATATATACAGGGTGACTGGTGAATTACTATCAATATTTAAGGAGCATACTCGGTACATGATTCTCATTCGAATTATGTAAAAAAAATAGGTACTTAAATTTTGACCAAATTTCCGTATAAATAAATAAAGTGTATACACATTCCAACTGTACCAAGTGTGGACGCGTGCGGCGGCGTGCTGATACAACAACACGCCGCCGCACGCGAGTGTGTGTGTGTGTGTACCTAATCTGTAGGGTGTTCATGCGATGCGTAATTAATTACATAACTTTTGGTTAACTTTACTTAGAAGTTTATTAATATTTATGTTATATTAATTTTTGTTTTGTCATATATGATCGTCAAATATCACGTCCTTAAATATCGATAGTAATTCACCAGTCACCCTGTATATATAATACAAGATAATATACTAATAATATATTATATATATTACAGTTACAACAATGAGCCGAGCTGTATAAGCGCCACCCACCCTCACCTCAACATGTACTGCTACTGTAACCAATAGACATTAACAGTATATAGTATGGAAATGAAACATTATACGGATATGTTTTATATTATATATGAAAAGAATTATATATACAATAATATAATACAACATCAATATATGTTATTCTGTAGGTGAATATAATGTTCTACTGTGATTGTTAATGCACATGTCTTTCCTTATATATTATATTATATAATTGGCACAAACTATTGTTTTAGTATCTATAAATGAAGATATGTTTATACTGGGTATGTATTCAGTTCAAGTTGTTTATAGCGGGGAGATGTGTTAGTGTTCCTGAGTTACCTGTAACGTTAGTATTATCTGTATATTTAACCCTCTCATAATAATTATTAATATGAATATAATAACTCGGTGATAATAATTAGTTTTTATTTTTATTATGCACAAAAGACATACCAAACATTATAATATTTTTTGTAATCTACTTTGATTTTTAACTTTCTACTTTTATATGTTATCTTTTACTTTTGAGATAATTTATTGCTTGATTGTTATAATCTTAAAAAAATCGTTTTTCTATAATACTAAGTACATTTTTTATTTTAAAATACATAAAAACTTATGTTTCCACTACAATTTTGATATTTCCACATTTTAAATGTCATTCTATAGGCATTACTAAGTACAAATGAAAATAGGGTATTTGGATACTGTGAGTTCCTCTTTATTTTATTACTACATAATACCCAAGCTACGGATCCTTTGCATTAACCGTGATCACGGGCACACGAGATAAAAGTGTCTCTCAGTTAGTCTTTTTATTTGTCACTATGTCTCCTAAGGTATTCTGGTATGATTACGGACATAATATTTTATATATTTTTTAATTAAGGGGTCCCAGGTGTTAAATAAATTCCAGCCTTCTCTAATGAAATTCAAAAAACATCCGCTTTTCAATACAGAAAATGACTGGACTGGTAAGGGGCTGAAACGTCAGAATTGTTTAGTTGAAAAATAATAAATAAAGAACGTTGCAGTATCCGAAAACCTTAGTTTCATATAAATGAATACACTCGAAAATCTTACATATTATGTTTAAGTAATATACAAAATGAAACAATGTACATATTTTTATTAAGATCTAGATTGTTATGACTATTTTAAATACTAATATTACAAGTACGGAAAAATAGATTTATTATTAAATATTAATTTTAATCTAATAAAGAAGTACCTTATAATAAAGTTCCTTAGTAGGGGTTCATCTTTTTCATTTCATTACATCTAGTCATAAGTTTATAAAGAAACCTTTTTCTGTTATATTTCTGATACTCCGTTGTGATATTGGTCATAAACTTGAAATTATAAAATGGAGAAAAGGGACACGAGCTTTGTTTTTATTTGATTTCTCTACCAGAAACCGATTGTATTTCGGTATAACAAACTTATACAGGAGAATGCTTGTAGGATTCTTACACCGACAAGACACCGAGACCTGAGTCGGCGTTTCTTTGATTCCCTTTGAACCAATGCCAATGAAATATATATAGTATACAACCACTCAGAAGGGACTCAGACCAAAACAGGACATTAAATCACTGCACTTTATATAATCTTTAAAAAAAATGTTTGGACAAACAAAAAAGGCAATGACTTAAAAAAAATAGTTTTGAAAATATACTACTACTACAACAAATAAAAAAAACTAGGAGATTCTAGAATGTACTTAACGAAAAATTTGTAATTAAAAAAGAATTTGTGAATAGGTTTTGAGATATTCACACTGAGATAAACTAAAAATAAATGCTTCTAGACAAAACAGGATTTAATGAACATACAACGTTTTGATTTCCTTAAATGGCTTAAAAGCACGAAGAACTTTTATTTACTTTTGATATTAATATAATAAAAAAAAAATAATAAATGTCACTTCACTCAAAAGATATAGGTACATATTTTTGACAATTTGGTCAAGTAAACGACATCTCTAGCTTTTAAATTATTATTATATAATACTAGCTGCTCCCCGCGGTGTTAAACACGGATTTCCGGGATGTAAAGTAGCATATATGTTATTCCTGGACGTCAGCTTCCCGTTTACAAAACTGGATCAAAATCGGTTCAGCCGTTTGAGCGTCAAGAAGTAACAAACATACACACACACTCACAAACTTTCGCAATTAAAATATTAGTAGGATGTTATATAATCGATAAATTGCATGAACTGTTAGCGAGCTTATTTATTATTGAAAAAAGTTATTTATAATAACTCTTAATTGTTATAACGAAAAAAGTTTGAATTTTTTCATACTAATTTATTTGGGAAAATACATTACGCAATCTTTAAAAAAAAATAAAGACTGTAACATAAAAATATTTTGATATATAACTGGGACTCTTAAAAGTCTTCTAAATATAAATTAATGTATTCACATGCGGTTATAAGAGTTTTCATTGTAACATTTAAATACAGCCCCACATAATACTGTATATTTTGTAAAAATAAAATAAAATTGATGAGTTTATATATATATATATGAAATATATTTGAGATCAGAAAAAAAATTGATTTCCTTGTAGTAACGTTTATTTACAAAAAACATTACGCAATCTTTAACAATAATAAAGACAGTAACAAAGAACTATTTTGGTATAACTGGACTCCACCAAATCCTTTAAAGTAAGGCACAGATAGAATTAAAGTTAAATATACACACACACAGTATCCATTAACATTGCTTGTCGTCATTTAGAATAAGGACTATTTACAGATCAGTTAGAGGAAGGGAAGAAGATCCTCTCTCTATCAAATAAAGATAAACAATCATCTTAAACAAGCCTTCTTTACATTAAGTCTTCTAATAAGGTCCGTTGTTATAATCGTTGTTGTAATCCGCTTGTCTGTTACTGTCGTAGCCTGACCGACGTCCTCGTATGAGATTCTGGGCTTGAAACCGTCCTGGTCGGCTTCATATTCAACGGTCTGGTGACAAATAATTCATTTCATAAGTCATCCTCATGGTCTCTATTGTGTTTATAACAACAACCCACCCTCCTATTATATATTACCTGTTTCCTTCCATCAGGTTAGACGACGTACTAGACTCCCTCAGTCCCCTTCGGCCCCCTCGTCGTGACTCTCGGTGACCGAAGTCGTTGTCGGAGGGAGCGTCCTGGACCATGTATTCAAAGTCGTAGTTCGCAGGCTCCTGTTAGTGAAGGTTGTTATTAAAATGACTTAAAAATAATACTTGAAAGAAGAGTAATTATGATACTAAGAGATAAAAAGATATGTGGCCATACAAAACAATAGTATAGGACATTTATGAACTTTAGCAGTTATAATGAGTATTCTAGTATTCCAAGTCTTGATTGAATCCATCCCTAATTCTCTAATATTAAACTCACTCCATTGCTTCCATCATCATATCCTCGAGCACTGGGAGGGAGGTACTGTCTGCTTTGTTGGTTGGCATATTTGTTGTCACTACCACCTTGAAATAATTGAATAATATTAGAATAGAAATGTAGTAGGGAACACAGGCATGCGTTCAAACTGTGAAAAAGATATAAGTACTGGGATCTAAGATTTTCGCGAGTATTACTACGCATTCTTTTTATTTTTTACTGTCAACTACATACTCCCGACGTTTCGGTTACTTTACAGCAACCGTGATCATGGTAAAAAACGCGTAGTTAATCCGAAAATATAAGTTTTATTTATATGAGTACTGGATTTTAAATTTTTGTTCAGTAAATATTATTATAAATACAACATACTTCGTTCAAATCCAGGAGCTCCATATTCTTGAGAGGGACCATTGGATCCAGCCTGATCTGGTGCACCGTATTGAGTGGAAGGTGCTTGGTATTGGTTTACAGGTGGCAACTATTGTGCCTTTGGTGCTTGGTATTGGCTCGGAGCTGAATTTTGGTTCCCATAAGCTTGATACTGGTTTGTTGGTGGCAAGTATTGGCTGGTGGGTGTTTGCTTTTGTCCTTGATATTGGTTGTTCGGTGCTCCATACTGAGAGGAAGGAGTTTTGGGTAGTCCGTATTGAGAGTTTGGTTTCCGGATACTTGTGGTCCGTAGGCAGATGAAGGACGTCCTCTGTAATATTTTGTCAAATTCGATCTATGTTTTTATATAATACTTAATAGTTTTTTGCAACCACAAGGAATTTTTAATATTTAATACATGTTATGGAAACAATTAGAAAAGAAAATTGATATATTATATAAGACGAAACTTCTCAGCATTCCATGGATTCACCGTGCGGGTGCCGGGTCCATCGCGTTGCAGGGGGAGGAGCTTCAACAATGCCTGGGACTTGCGACCCAAGTGTAGGTTTAAGGGGCCCCTTAACTAACGCGCGTTATACGCTCACCTCCACTGTCCAAGCTCCTCTCCCTACCTAACCAAATTTGAAAAGAACCTACTAGGGCTGCCTTCGATGTACGTTCCAAGAATGCATTAATGTGAGTTCTGGACAAGCCCAAGTCCTTTAGTAGGTTATAGAGAGATTTCGCTGTTATACCTCTCGCTCCCACCTCTACCGCGTACATATCTACTACGAACCTATTTCGAGTGAGTTCGTTTGTGAGCTCGTAATATTTGTTGACCTTGATGGTATGGTCTTTGGGGATGTTGGTTTCCCAAGGGACCGTAAGCTCTATCATCACTACGCGCTTTAAAATTCGCGAAAACAAAAATATATCCGGTCTGGAGGCCGACGCACAAATATCCTCGGGGATTTTATATTGTTTTTCATACGTGTCCATCATTATAGTCCAATCCGACGCCGCTTTAAGGATGGAGTAAGGCTTGACGTTTGATTTTGTAGCCCTAGTGCCTTCTCTCACAAAACCTACTGATCGTTCGTTTGTGGTTATTCCCTTTTGCGCTCTGGCTACCGAAAGACTAACCGCTTCACGTATGACTTCTAGAACCCTATCGTGACGACGCGAGTATTGACCGCTGTCAAGGAGTACCTTACATCCCACCAGCAGATGCTTAGCAGTTCCAACTGCCTTTCCACAGATATAGCAAGTTTTTTCGGTACTTTTACCCCATCTTACTAAATTACTCTGATCTGGGAGAGTCATCTGGAACGCATTGAGATAGAATTTTAGCATTGCTGGCGACCAATCATAAATTAAAGTGCGCCATTTTAATGCTAATGGGATGCAAAAATCTCCTATGTCTAACCACTCGTTCTGCATTTCTAAATTCATTGCATGGATCTTATATTTATCATTCTCGTCTTGCCGAATAAAAGACTTCAATATATCCGCATCTTGGACTTTCCTATTTGATCCTAACCCAGCTCTGTTACTTTGCGCTCCTATCATAAATTGCTTATGGAATTGAAGTCGTGACTCTAGCTCGGGGGCATCTTCATCTTTTGGGAGCGATGTCACTATGTCATCATGGGATTTCCCCAGGATATATCTCTTGGAAACTCTTAGGTGTTTATAGAGCTCCGATGGCCTTTTTAGACTCATCCCAAAACTATTGCTTCCCCTAAATAACGCCGATGAATCAGCCGTTAGAGCGAGCCCAAGCCACAATTTCAACATCTTTATGACGCCTGCATCTAACTTTGACAAAAGGGTTTTATTAAAATCATAGACGAGGAAAGGCCAATTCAAACGTGAAGTTAAGTAATTCTCGTAGATCCACGCTTTTTTGACGTTACTTATCAGTTGGCTATCTACCTTGTTAAGATCGTTCAAAAAGCTATCTACTATTCCTTCTAAAGATGGAGTACGGCCTATATTATCTATCTTACGACCGAGAAATTTAAATGGTGCATTTTCCGTAACCGTAGAAATGCATTGACCGCCTAACGATAGTCCCGGATCGTATGAGGTGTATCTTGTATTCCGCCTACCAAGACACAGACAGTGACATTTACTGGGTTTTGTCCTCAATCCATCCGTCCACTCACAGAATTTATCCACTTCATCCAATAGTACCTGACAGTGTTTGGGGTTACGTGTCAGTATTGCGAGATCGTCAGCGAAGGCTAAAATGGATTCCGTGTATTTTTATTAAACTTAAACCGATAACCCCATTTTTTCTCGTTACAGATTAATTTGTCTACTAAGATGTTAATTACGATATTAAACGCAATTGGAGATAGACAACAACCTTGAAACAGTCCTACATTATAACTCAAACTTTTTGAAGGGCCTTCTTTAGTTATTATAGAAAACCTTAATTTTGAGTAATACGACGCGATCATATCTCTAACTAGGGGTGGAAAGTTGTACCATCTAAGCGCGAATAGCATCAATTCGTGTTGTATCGACCCGAACGCGTTCTCCAAGTCTATCCAACAAACAGTGATTTGCCGCTCGCTTTTTCTAGCATCTTTTAAACTCTCCGACAGCAAGGTGTTGTGTTCTAAGCATCCAGAAATCCCGGGTAAAAACCCTTTCTGGTGATTTGGCCTAAAATAGTTGTTGCTGAGCATGAATCGCGTCATTCTCGTTTGTAGAACCGAGAAAAAGATTTTCGATATAGTATTTGTTAAAGCTATCGGTCTAGTATCTTTCGGATCAGTAACTCGATCTTTTTTGGGAATGAGGACAAAAATTGCTTTCCCGAAGCACTCCGGGATTTGCTTCCTTGACCAGATTTTACCGTATATATTTAGGAGGTGTTTACGAACCGATGCACATTTTTTAAAGACTATATATGGGATACCATCGGGTCCCGGTGCAGATTTAGACGACTTCCTCTTGATCTGACTACTTAGTTCCTCTAGCGTTGGTGGAATGCCGTGGAATTCGATTCGAGGAAATTCAGGTTTTTGATCGTTTGAGGTTTCAGGTTTATGATTTGTTTATTAACCTGAAGACAGCTTCAGTCTGTCTCTGACTGAATCCGGGAACACCATAACTCTGAGAGGGAGACGCGTTCCTCGCTTGTGGAGGAAGATACATGGAGATTATACTTTCATTAGTGAAGGTAGTGAGGAAAAGAAATATTCATATAGAAGAATAATTTGAATTCCTTTATTATTAATAAAGAGAATAAACAGAAAATTATAGAAATGTTTTCAATTATTTGCATGAAATTATCAAGAGCTGCGAAATATTTAAAGTGAATTTAAAGTGAATATGTTGCAATCTTGGAAGTCTGTAACATACATTGGAATACTTGAGACGTGATGTGTTTGGACTCTCTCCAATGTTAATATTATCATAATGTGGACGATATCGCACTGCGGTCCAAATAAAGCTATTCGGTTCAAGCAGTGACACATCATACGTTCACTTGATAATAGAAAAACACCCACCACACCGTTTATATATAAAAAAAAACAGAGACAAAGATTAATATTATTAAATACCATATGAGTAAATCATGATCTAAATTACAAAGTGCAATTAAAACCGTTATAAATAATAACATCTCAGCGAGATCTAACGGTTATAGTCAATAAATTTATGTAACAACCATACATTGGACATTTTGTAAATCCGTGCGACAAACACGAGAAGTTTGAGGGTTTATTACAAATACTTGATAGTTATGAGGACGGTGTGACGGCGGACGGTACGAGGACTGACGGCTCGGCGTCGGCACAATTTAAATTGAGTAATGTTGATTCACTTTAAATTGTCAGCTTCCTTTGTTTAAAATGATCGAAATTAATAATATTTGTTTTGGAGTTATTTGTTTTTTTTGGACTTTTGGATTATAAGGATATCCGAAAGTAAAATGGTTGTGATGTAAAATGTTGAATTTGAAGGAATTATTAAAAATAATATTACTATACATGATACGAAACAGGAGTCGTTTTATAGTACATTATGTATTTGTCGTTGAAATAAAATCATTTAATTAAATCGATTATTTACTTCACTCCCCCGGGAAATGATCCCGCACTAATTAATACGTTCTAATCGAAAATAATTAACGATTAATTGGGGAAAATATCACATTAACACAAATAACAGGATTTTAAGCTCTACGGTTGTGTATTAAAGTCGGTTTTGCTGTAATACATTTGTATAATTGAGGGTTCACCATAAATCGGTGAGGGGTTAATTTGTTGACTTGTGGAAAATCGAGATATTTTAGTAATTAAGTGATCCATCGATGTACCCTTTATATAACAACGGTTTATTTGATCAGTTCCCTGTAATCAACTAACCGGTGTTGTAAATAGTTACATTCAGTGGCGGCTGTACCTGAAGTGCACTCGTGCGCTGAACCACCAATTCAAAAGATTTAAAAATTACAAAATATTACTTCATCTTTATTTTTAAATTACCATTTTAATATTTATTTTTTAAACATACAAAAACGTATAAAAAATTAAATTTCCCAATTATGGTCAAAAAGTTTGAGCGCTTTACTAAACTAATATCTCGTGCGCTTCGGCGAGTGCACGAGGCCTCCTAATACATCTTGTATGAGACACGAATTAATACGCCTGACGCGTGAAACAAAAGATAGTTCATAGAAATGTACCGAGTAACGAGTCGGTTCTCGAGCGCCGCACGAGCGGCCGAAGATTACCGAGAGCACCCGATGTATGACGAATTGAGCCGCGATTGACATCTCGTTATGTTTTGTTGCATTTTCTAATTTTAATTTTTAGTAAAGTGCACCACCGGTTCGATTACCCACCAGCCGCCACTGGTTACATTTACTCCTAGTGTGTGATTCTGATCATGATTTTAGTTGTTGTTCTCCTTATCGTCGTGACATCTTCGTCTCAACTCCCAAGTGATACATGTCTGTACCGGCCCGGCCGCCTCATGATTCCTCTGTAGCTCGTGGTTGCTAATCGTTCCGTCTAAGTCTTCACTTCATTTGCTAAAAGCTCGACTAATCCACCTCTCTGTTTTTTTTTTTTTTTTTTTTTTTTTTTTAATTTATTTGGGACAACAAACATTTGTACATGTATGAAAATATATATTATATAATTTTATAACCTTAATAAATGCACAAACCACACCGTTATCCACTATTTACATTGAAAAAAAAAAGAAATAAAAGAGATATTACAATGAATAATTAAAAAAAAATAATAATAATAACAATATTAAATATATATATATATATATATATATATATATATATAAGAAATATAAATACACATACATAATTACACACATACTCACATATAAATATATAATTTGAATTTATTATTACATACTGTTAACTAATATTATTGTTTGCTTTTTCAGTAATGGCTTTAATTTTTTTTTTATATGCACCTATTGTTGACCCAAAAATGTCAACATTATAAAATTCAACATTGTACGTTTGGGTCATTTGGTACAATGGTGCTCGCTTGCCAGCATTAGTTTGACATTTTTTCAGTTTGAATAATTTAGGTGTTCGTGTGTTACGTAATGAAACTCGATTGGGTACTAAGAAATATATGTGGCTTAATAATTGAGGACTGTTTAGATTAGAGTTGCAGATATTGTATAAGGATATTGCACTCAACAGTTTTCTTCTCGATGCGAGACTCCCCAATTTATATCTATCAAGCAAATTAGAATATGACAGATAGGAATGTGTGAATTTGTAATGTAATGAACGCAAATACCGACGTTGCACATTTTCTATCTGGTCAACATATTTATTGTAAATGGGGTTCCAGATTTGTAATGCATATTCAAGTTGTGGTCTGATTAAACTGGAATACAGATATATGAGCGTAGACGGCTTTTTAGAATCCCTAGTTGATCTCATCACAAATCCGTACATTTTAAATGCGTTATTAACAATATTGTCAACATGCTTATCGAGATGAAGGTGCGAATCTATAATAATACCAAGGTCACGTACATGATTTACTCTATTTAATTGAGTCCCATTGAGATAGTATTCTTGCTTAACTATATTTTTATTTTTAGTTATTGTTATAGTGTTACATTTGGTCAAGTTGAGACGTAATTTATTCAGAACACAATATTCGCTAAGCCTGTTAAGATCGCTTTGTAAATCATGGCAGTCCGACAAATCCCGCACATTTAAGTATAATTTAAGATCATCCGCGTACAACAGGAACTTGCAATGTTTGAAGCATTGGTTTATGTCATTTATAAAGATTGTAAAAAGCAATGGCCCAAGTATAGATCCCTGTGGCACGCCGGAGGATGTAATAAAAGTATCAGACTCAAAGCCTCTAACTACGACTCTCTGAGACCTGTTGATAATGTATGAAGCAAACCACCTCAATAAATTACCTCTTACGCCGTTGAAGGCCAATTTCTTTAAAAGGATTTCATGGTCCACTTTGTCAAATGCTTTGCGAAAATCCGTGTACACAGCATCCACCTGCACCCTGTTGTCCATATTCTCAAACAAGTAAGTAGCATATAACAATAAATTAGTAGTAGTAGATTTCTGTTGTACAAATCCATGCTGCTCCTGTAAGATATCATTATGCACAAGAGGGTACAATTGGGCGTGTACTAATCGTTCGAAGACTTTCGCTAGCGTGGACAAAATCGATATCGGTCGATAATTTTCAATATTGTCTCTGTCTCCACTCTTGAAAACGGGTGTTATATGCGCCATCTTCCATAAATCAGGAAAAATACCTTCTTGCATACACTTGTTATAGATAATTGTAAGTGGAATGCATAGTGTATCCGCGGTAAGCTTTATGAACAAAGGCGGTAAGGAGTCAGGTCCAGCACCTTTATTTGAGTCTAGTGCCCTTAACACCCTGTAGACATCGTTTTCAGAAAAATATAAAGAGCATATATTGTTGTTACTAGAGTTGGTATCACCTACTGATGACTCCCATGTTTCTATATTAAGTGTAGATGGCTCATATACAGATTGAAAGAAATGCGCGAACATTTTACATATCATTTCAGGGTCGCTTGATGAATTACCCATATAGGTCATTGTTGTCGGTATTCCCGGTTTGATTTTAAGACTAGACATGTAATTCCAAAAGGATTTTATATTTTTAATTAAACTTTGTTCCGTAAATGATATGTAATTGTCAAAGCACTTTTTACTTTCCGTATCAAATCTGCTTCGATACATGGAGAAGAGTTCATAATCAGCAGTATTTTTATACTTTTTCCACTTTACCCACGCTTTATCTTTAGCCTTAAATATCCGTCGAAGACTTGGGGTAAACCAACATGGAGAATTACTGTTTTTTATTACGCTGACCGGTGTAAACAACTTTATAATTGAGAATAGTTTTTTCATAAAATATATTTATAATTTCGTTAATAGAACCAATTAAAATGTCAGACCAATTTGCTTTATTAATAGCTTCATTAATATTTATGTAGTCAGCTTTTGCAAAACACAATTTGATTCGTGGTTGTCTTGGAATAGATATAAGTGCCGTAGTTATTTTGCTGAGAATATAGAAATATGGATGGTGCTGCACCAGTGGAGACAGAGGCGATGTAGGCGTCAGACAAGTACAATCAGTGTTCGATATGAACAAATCCAAAGTACGGTTTAAATTATTTTTGTAAATGTTATGTTGAGTGGCATTCAGTAAAGAGAGGATTTGCACAAGATATTTACCAGCATATACAGTATCATTTCTTATAGAAGGTAAACAAAGACCATTATTTACTTCCCACTCAAGGCTAGGTAGATTAAAATCTCCTATTAGAAAATGCTCAGTTACATTATCACACAACACTATGTCGCAAACTAAGTCGAGATATACGACGTAAGTATTCGAACATTGATTAGGTGGTATGTATACTGCGTTCACAATGCATTTCTTACCTCGGGACGCGCTCGGTACCTCAACAGAGACGCAATCGAATCGACAATAGGAGGCACGGGCCCCGGCAACGCGCGGCGCACGGGCCGCAGCTCGCGGCGCACGGCCACTAACACGCCGCCGCCCTCCTCCCTACCTGTGGCGGCACGGTCCCGGTCGCATCGAAATACAATATACCTACTGTCTATAAATTCACTATCTGAAATACTAGGAATTAACCATGTTTCGGTTAATACGATAATATCATAAGAATAAGTTAAGATGTTCATATAAATGGTATTTAGTTTGGTTTTTATTCCACCACAATTTTGATAATAAAATGATAAATTACCTGTGAATTCGAATAATATTGCATATTGTGTATAAGATGTTGGTATTATATTCACATATTATGTTTAAGATATATCGTATTATGGGTGAATATATTTTAAGAACATTGTAAACATCAAAAAATAGTAGATACGTTATTTTGCAATTTAACGTGTTTGTGTAAAAAGATAACGTATCTTTGGAAGCTTGGTAAATCATTGTTATTAAACAATAATAATAGTAAAACGAAGTTATAGTATAAGAATATAACTTATTAGAATTAATCAGTAAATTGAATATGAATTTGTTATTCCCGCATCGAGAAATCAATCGTTTCATTACGTAACCACTATAGACTTTATTATGAAGTACAAAATATAGTGTATAGTAAATATAAATATCATACTTTATATAAGTGTTATATAATAATATTATAGATAAATGATAAATTACGAATAAATATTTGATATTATGGAGTAAAACTATATGTAAATACTTATTTAATAAACACAATACCAATAAAAATGTAAGGTAATTTAAAAACATTTGCACAGAGTAATTAACAGGACAGAGCAATTCGTGTAAACATAGTGGCAAGCAATAATATTTTTTAATGAGTAGTATAACAGTAACAACTAATACGTGATGTGTTTTTTTATTTAACTTACTAGGAGGACTTAGAAGATTTAATTTTAGACAAGTCTTCATACGAACGGATAGCAATAACTCGGGATGTTTCGCACTCGCGCACAAGAATGTTACCATGCTTAATCCAGGTAAAGCGAAAATTACACCTTTTAGCAGTTTCACGAGCACTTCTAAAAAGTTGTTTGTTTCGTAATGTAAGATGTTCATTTACGTAAACTCTGCGATTTTCACCATTAATATGCAAGTCATCTGTGTATAAACCTTTCTTCATTCGAGCAGCAGACAGTATATTGTCACGCAGAATCCGGGAACATAATTTTACAACAATACTTTTAGGATGTGTGCTCTTTGTATCAGCATGAGGCACTCGGTGTACAGATACTATATCATTCGGACTTATGCTTTGCTTAATAGACGTTCCGATGTGTTCAACTATTTTTATTAGATTTTCATTACGTCTCTCAGGTACGTTCTGAATTTCTACATTGCACTGACGTGAATGTTGCTCCATTGATTCAATTTTCGCTTCCAATTGAGTTATGGTTTTAGTGTGTTCTTCTAGACTTTTTACCTTCTTTTCTGTTTCAGCTAGACGGTTGAGACATGCCGTGGTCTTGTTGTTTAGTTCGTCAAAATAATTTGACATTTGATTCATTGTTTGCTTAACTTCGTTGAATTCCTTTACAACCTTGGATATCATATTTTCCTGTCTGGCGAACCATTTGTCCATTTTGTTAACCATTGACTCCTTGAACTCACGTAGTTCCTTTAACAATGGATTAAGACCACCTTCCGTGTCAACACGAGTTCTTCTAGTTGTCACGCAATTTACGGGTGATCCATCGGTAAGTGATGTAAAACTTATGTCTTGAGCATCGTTGGAATGTGTAGGCGAAGACATATCCGTGTATAATAAAAAGTGTTGCAATATCTCTATATCTCTGTGTAGTCACTACTCTGTATATACCGGTCGGTAAACGTAATCAACTGTAAGGACAATGCGCGCGACCGGCCGTCAAGAGTGACCGAGACGGAATGAGAGACGTTGTTTATGTTCTGATATTTGTATTGCATTAATTAATTACTTTGTTCCTCGTATTTTGCATTTGTTTCAACTGTTTCCTTATATTTTTCTTTTAAGTAATAATTTTTTTTTACATAAGTACCTTTTATTTATATTTTCTATTTTAATATAATACTACATACATATACTCTATAGTATTAAAATTAGACCATAATTGATTCATCATTTCTATTTCAATAGTTGAATACATGTGTAATTATGTTTGACATTTAGTGATGCTCCGTATATTAAGGAATCTTCACAAATTGACGTATTATTTGTGTGTGTCAGAGTTATGTGAATGTGGGTGATGTTTATGTTAAATTATAAATATTATTTATTATACATTTTCTATAAAAACAATAGTCTTGGGTGTGTGTGTTTAAAGAAGGTACAAAGTTTTCATTTCTCGTATTAATATCATGATTCACACACACATTCGCATGTACTCAATAAGTTATTAATATTTTATAACTACATACAAAATATGTCAGCGCTTCAATAATTGAACTAACGACAAAACAATAGCGTTTTAATTAACAACAAAAATACAAAAATCTATTCTCGCGTAGTGAATAACATTTTTGTAGTCACCTTAACATTTAAAGCGAGCAACATTTCACAAACTAAACCAACACAATAGGTGTATAAATGCTTAATTCGTGTTATTTATATCTATCGCAGTTATTTGAGCTCAACAGATCGTCCATCACACTGGAAGCTGTACTAATTGCATCTTCATCTCAGTTAAGACGCTGTTTACTCTGTTAAATAAAGATTAACAACTTATATTAATTATACCTTTCAGGGGACATTTCTGTTATTATATGAAGCGAAATCATTACTAAACTTTTATTTCACTTTAAATTTTATATTTTAAAACAAAGGAATTATATAATTTGTGACAATTATCTAAGTAAATGTTTTTAAATATTGTATTGTCAGAAACACATTTGTGAGCATCAAATTTAGAAGCAAATAATCTATCTATTATTAAAGATCAAATACTTTAACTCAGGTTTAAGTTCCTCAGAAATAGGAATTTCTTTCGATATGACGGCGTCATTTAAACGAAAGAATTCAAAGAGGAATAAAACAAGTGCGGTGATATTCATAAATAATCATAAAAACCTCAAGATGTTTACCTGAAGGCTGAGAGATAATTAAATACAAATACGTCACAATAAAACGGGCCCTAACACAACAGATGAAATCTGTTTTCGTAGTCGAATTCCTTGATGGTCGAGATCTGTTCAAACAGAGCCTCCCTCTCTTGTGAAGTGTCCTCCAACTCACTCGTGATACGACAATTCATTTAATTTATTCGACAAATAAACGAAATTGAGATATGATTTGTAACTGTGTTTTTGTAAACATTCACTGAAGCACGCCAGTCGTGGGTAACTTGAATTGTAATAAATTTAAAAATAGTGAGATACTCTCGATCAATAACTATTACAAAATATAATTGGTTTCGTTTTTTCGAGTTTAGTTTTAGTTTTTATTATTGTTGAAAAAAGTACTATTAAAATTATTAAATAATATAGTTACAAATATTGTTGTCTTTTTGAATAATTTTTACATAAATGTGTCTATTTAAAATTTCATGAATATATATGTTTCCTCGTATATTATAAGTTCGTTAGATATTAGTTATGCCCCGCGGGTTGTCCCGTGATCACCGCAGGTTCATTATTCACATTAAACACCTTCATTCTTCTTCTTCTACCTGGCAATTTCCCGGCTATAGCCAGGGTCTGCCTTACATGTTGTGAATAGTTTTGGCTAATTGTTTTTACGACCGGCCGCCTGCCTGATATCAACCCTCTTTTTGGGAATCAGCATTAATCAGTGATGTCTAAATATTCTTAGAAAGTACATATGACTCGGAAAAATCACATTGGTACTTGCCCGGGTCAGGATCGAACCCGCGCCCTCGGCAACGAGAGGCGGGCCCTCTAACCATTAGGCCACCACTGACTTAAACACCTTCATTATCTTCACCTAATTAAATAACTGACAGAAATATTGTGTTTTAAAATTTTAATTATTCTATCCATTAAAGTCTTTATCTGAATTTATTTCAGTAAATTTCTAACAAAAAAATTGATGTGAGATTTAATAAAATAATTTTAAATATTGTATCATAAGTGATAGCACCGTCGGGACTCTCTGATATCAATTTCTGCCACCACTGTCACACCCTTGTCTTTATGTGTAATTATTTACTCGATTATGGTCTCGCTGGCGGATGATCGGAAATATTACCTTGTTTATTACCTGCGTATTATTTTACATACTAACTTGTATAACAATACATCTACATATCTATATATATAAAAGAAATTTGTATTAGTTACACTTGTTATAACTCAAGAACGGTTTTTGGGATATGGTTGAAAAATAGATTGGAATTAGGAGACGGACATAGGATATTTAGGATATTCTATTCGATCGAAAACGAAAAATAACTTAATAAACTGAAATAAAAAGATAATTTACGGCCTCTAGGACGGAATAGAGTTCGCCCGGTCAGCTATACATATATTACTAATAGCGAAATTATGATCGAAGACGTCGCGGGCAAAAACTAGTTAATTTATAATATGATTCAATTATTAGTACGTATGATCTGTATCTAAATTGCTTCCAATAATGATCACTATCTCATTATTAAACAGTTTGTAGTCATCACTTTGACACAAGTTAATATTAATTAGCACTCAGCCCTTGTTCCGACGCGCTAAATCTATTATCGCCTTCACAGTATTAACCTGTCATTATTGTAATTGTGCAAATATTGTAGGACGTCATCTGGGAACAAGGCTAGTGATCAATTATAGATAGGTTAAAAGAGATTCTTGTACGAGTTGTTTATGGTTATAGTAATATTAAAGGTTTTGACGGAGATTGATGCTGAAGCAAGTGGAAGGAACAGTCGTAACCAATTTTCAAACTTTATAATAAAAAAGGCCTTTTATGAAGTCCCTATTGAGCAATCTTGTCTCATGTGAATTTGATACATTCATTGTAATACAGTTGACAAAATGAATGCAGAATTGTTTGAACTAACGATTTATTTAGAGTGATAAAATTAGTTCAAAGTATGTTATTAAAAGAAGGTTTTTATAAACGAGAATGTTCTTTAATTTCATGCTATATATATGAACCTAGGCCCCGAGTCCCACTGAATGGTCCAACATATAATATTTATACTTTTACATTGTCACGGCTTGTGTCGTAAGTCTGAAAATTAATTATTTGTCAACTCCATTTGCACGAGGGTTCATATTCAAGTTGGCATCATTGTGTTTGTTCTACATCACTCTTAATGTTCCGTATTGACAGATCTTGAATGTATATATTATTTAATAAAACCTACATTCATTGCAGCCTTCATCCTTATTATAATTGTATTACATAGTGTTTATGACACAAAGTTTTTGTAAATCCGAACTATTCCCTACGATACTACTCTTGTTATACAATTTTTATATATGTAATTTTAAGGGATTCTCGTATACAAAATAATATGAAAAATCATTCTTTTTATAGGTTTCTTCATTTAAGAATAAAGACTGAACAGTCGGAAAGAAAGAGAAATGGAATTGTAAGAATTGTAAATGGTTAATACAGAGACATGATAATTTTATTTTATTTTGTATAAATAATATTAGAAGTAATAAATTATATAATGTGTAAGTTTTGTTATCAAAATTTAATAAATATAAATATACATAAGTGTATTATTGATGTTCGCCCGGTGGTATGTAACATGCCCGTCGTATCTATGTAAGTGAATTCCCGAACTCTGTTATTACAATCTCCGACCGTTTCCAGAATATTACTTCTGAGTTATTTTCTGTTCCGACAGTTGTTGAGATGTGAATATTGTATTCGTATTTTAACACTATTTTATCTCAGAGTTTATGAGAAAATTTATAGTTTCATTATATCAGAAACATTATAAAATAATACCCGGAAATTACATTAAGAGAAAAATAAAATTTTATTTGAAGTAAATAAAAATACTGAAGGAAATGTCTTCTTTTTATGATTTTCTAAACATATTCTATTTATTTTTAATCAGGAGCGAAAGAAATGTCTCTAAGACCGATGATACGTATCGTCTATGTTTACGAACAAAAGTTAAATCAGTATCATTTAAACTATAAAAAAGTTGCTTCAGCAAAACGAATCAAAACAAATAAATATGTATTCTTATAGACCTTTGATTGTTATGATTAATTTATTATATTTGTTCAAAATAAAATAAAGTGAATTCCAAATTGAATTCATCAATATTGATAATATATGTTTTCTATTACTTATAGTTGCATTATTCGTTGTTTATTAAAATGATTACACAACCACAAAGTATGTTATAAATATATGTGAATCCATAATATATAACATGTATATTATGATAGTAACCTTCACAACAACAGCTAGCTAAGGTACAATGTATCAGAACTGTTTCAGCTGATCTATTCCTAACGAGTGTATGAGGAGGGTGAGTGTCCTCGTCCTAACTCTGTTTCTAGGCTGACTATCATTGTATATTAATATCACACACAGAGCTGTTCACATCTACACTAATATACTAATATAAGATTTGTTTTACAAGTCTGTGGACTGAACTGAAGGGACACGTTCGTGACGAGGGCGTGACTCATTCAGATGTTGTGTAACGTTTGTGTGGTTGTATGAAAAGGATTTTAATATCGAGCAGAGAACACATTCCAATATATAAAACAGAGATTTTATGAAATAAACACAAGTAGAAGTAGCAGTAATATTTCTGTACATATGAAATAATTTCTAGATTATAATTTCTG